TGGAGATGGATTTTTATGAACAGTTTATTTTGGTGTTGAATGAGAAGAAAACAAAGATTCGAACCTTACAGAAATCATTAAATGAAGTTCAAGAACTACAAAAGAACACTGAATGTGAAAGGGAAACTGCAACCTGTTCTGAAATGACTGTTGACAGAGATGCAATCTATGATGAAAGTACTGATGAGGAAAGTGAAAATCTGTCTGGTCTCTCTGTGTTGGCTGCAGCTACGGAAAGAAAAGAAGATTCCATTATTTCAAGTCCTGATGTCATCGATATTGCACCAAGTAGAAAGAGGAGGCAGCGAATGCTAAAAAATCTTGGGACAGAACCTAAAATTGCTCCTCAGGAATCTCAACTGCAAGAAAAGGAAAAGTAAGTCATTTTATGCATTACCACAGCATGGCATGATTTCAGAAAATCTAATTTATAATCTTCAAAAGCATATTTTAATTTGTGAATTAATTATATTTAAGAACAAAAATTATGATTTGGGAAATTAAAAAATGTTTAACTATATTTTCTCTTGGTATTTACTTAAGACCTATTAATATTTACAGTAGAAAAACTAAAAATATAAGCAAAAGTTTTTCCTTGTGTTTTTTAATAAATTAATTAGAAATGACATGTAGGATACTAAAAATATTAAGATCCAGCTTGTTTTCAATAAAGTGTTTCAATCTAATTTACTGCTTTAAAGAGATCCATATAACATTCAAATTAGCAACTTCATTTGGTTATGCTTGGTACTTTTTAAAGTAAAATGACTCTCTTAGTTATCTGTTTATTTCTAGTAAATTTTGGCATTATTTACTTTATTTATACTGCATTTCACTCTTTGGTTCAGACTACTGTCCATCAGTCTATACCCCAATATTATTGTAATGAGAAGTTGGAATCATTAACATTAATTTATAGGAAAACAATGAGCATTTATAAAGAATATTACCAGGTCATTTGTGCATATAAGTCAATTGTAAATATTGTATATTGCATTAATTTTTCTTCTAAATTTTTGTTAATTTATCAGTTGTTGATCAATGTCCATATGGCAGTCTAGTGGCTTTCAAAGTGTAGAGTGAGGACCCCTGAGAGTTCCTTATCGCAAAAACCTCTCCAAAAAAAAAAAAAAAAAAAAAACTCCTTTAAGAAACAGTTATCTATGTTCGACTTTACTCTTCAGCAAAAATTTAGTAGGATAGTAAAAGAAAACTAGATATCTCACTTATGAATTTAAATGTAAATGTCCTAAATATAAACAAATCAAATTCAGTAGTATATTAAGAGAAAATAACTTGGTAAAGATAGTAATTTTTTTTAAGATATTTTTGCTATAGGGTGTATATGCTTGCTGGAGGCCATGCTGCAATCCCTTCTCCTCTTATTCTCTCTGGATTTTGGACATGTACGCACATATGCCCGGTGTGAGTTATTTTAAGCTACTGGGTCTGGGACTTGAGCTGTGGTCAATTACATGGGAGTCCAGCAACATAACCATATGCCATCTGTTGGTACTGGCAAAGATAGTTTAACATAAGGAAATCTATCAGTATCATTCATTACATGAGTAATTTAAAGAAGGAATTAAAAAATGCCAAAAAGAAATGTTAGGGGCTGGCACCTTGGCATAGTGGTTAGGCACTATGCATTGGGAGCTGTATCCCACATGGCCGGCTGCAGTTCGAGCCCCAGCTCCAGTCACATGAAACACATGCCAGATCATGGGTGTGCTGGACTGTGTGTGTGTGTGTGTGTGTAGTGTGCGCAGGTTCCTGGCAGGATGGAGAGGTGGAATAAGAGGGATTGCAGTGTAACCACACCCTATTGTGGAGTACTTTCTTCCTCTCTCATTCTGCTTCTCTGTCTCTGGCAAGGGCATGTGTCCTCTGGCAGTTAAAAATTTTTTTTGTTTTTAATTAAAAAAAAGTTTGGGATACTTAAGTCTTTTCTTTTTTTCTTTCTCTCTCTCTTTCTTTCTTAAAAAGGCTTTTGCTATAGGTTATGTGTGTTTGCCAGAGACAGTGAGAGGAGAAGTGAAAAAAATCACCCCTCACCCCCCAGAGGAGATGGCCATGCTGTAATCCCTTTTCTTCCATTCTCCTTTTGGGATTTTGGGAAAGCACGCACACATGCCCAGTGTGATTTTTTTCAAGCCACTGGGTCCAGGACTCGAACTATGGTGAGCCATGTGAGAGTCTAGCACCTTAACCACTAAGTCACCTGCTGGCCTGTCCACATATATATATATATATATATTTATGCCAAAACTAGAATCAACTTAAATGTCCATGAGCAAGAATGGTTAAATATATTATGGTACCTCATATTAAGCAGATATTAAGAAGGGTACACAGACAACAAGTCAGTGCTGCTCTAGCATGACAGATGCATCCTTAAAACTCAGCGAGCTATGTAAAAACCACACCATACACACGCAGGAGGCTTACTAGAAGACACAGTTAACTCTCAAAAATGTTGTCAGTGACATATAAGATAGATAGAAAGCTAATAAAAGTGATAGTACAGCTTTATACATATTAAATGGTTAGTGAATATATAAATATAATTCTAATGTGTCTTCACTTTGAAAAAAGAGTGACGTTTGCTCTATAGACCACTAGGCTCTGCCTTTCCCACTGGCCAGCCAGCCTGCTACCATCCTTCCTGCTCAAGGAAAAGAACAAAAGAGGAAAAGAGCAGAGAACTGAGGAGAAAAATTAAAGGGGAGGGCATAGTACTTGTTCAGTCAAATTGCAACTATGGGTTATTGTGAGGTGGTGGAAGGAGGATTATCTATTACTGGTCAGAAAGCTGAAACAGTACATATGGCATTGAACCAAACCGAGTGTGGCTCAGTGACCTTATGAGGTGGTGTGTTGTGGTAAGTTTCTCGTGGTCAGACTCATTTCTTTTGGGTGAAATTGCTGAGTTTACCAAGTGTTTCTAGTGAACAAAATCACGCATTAGAATGTGGAATTCATGTTATGCTAGATTTGTTCCCTAATTTGTCAGTCATTTTGGAGCAAATTTGAATTTTAAAGGTCTTTTAAAATTTTTTAATGGAGGTGTAGAATTTCACTCTTTATGTTATGGACATTTTTCACTGTTGGCATGGTAGTTAAGGCACTGGACTCTCACATAGCCAACCATGGTTCAAGTCCTGGACCTGGCGAATTAAAAATCACAAGGGGCCTATGTGCCTGCATGCCCCAAATCCCAGAAGAATGGAAGAGAGAGGATTGCAACATGGCCATCCACCCTGAGGGGTAATTTCTCACTTTCCATCTCATTGTTTTTCTCTGGCAAGTCCATGTGCCCTATGGCAAAAACATTAAAAGAACAAAAAGAACTTACGGATTTACTTTCTTCTTAATGACCTCATGGTATTATATAGTCTAAATTTTTACCTACTCCTTTACTGATAACATTTTTGTTGTCTAGTTTTTGCCTATTACTCATTATACTGTAATATTTAGATTTCTTAGGTAATTTGAATATTTCTTTTAAAACATTCCTAGAAATATAACTGATAGATTCAGAAGATATCTGCAGGGCCAGGAGGTGGCACCACCATTGGCTAAAAACGCTAGATTCCCACATGGCTGATCACAGTTCAAGTCCCAGACCTGGTGGCCTGATTGCTTTTTTGCTTTATCTCTGTCTCTCTCTGATCAAATTAAAAAATAATATAATAAATAAGGGACCAGCAGTTAGCGTAATGGCTATGTCACCAGACTCCCATGTAGTTGACCGCGGTTCGAGTTCTGGACCCGGTGGCTTAAACTCACGCTGAGCGCGTGTACGTGTGTGCCCAAGATCCTGAGAGGAGAAGGGATTGCGTCATGGCATGACCAGACCTTGTGAAGGGTGTTTCTCTCTCTCTCTCTCTCTCTCATATAGCATGCATGTGCCCTATCAAAAAAAAAAAAAAAAAAAAAAACACAAAACAAAAAAAACACCTCAAAAATATATAATAAATAAAATTAAATAAATAATTCTTTTAAAAGAGATATCTGCATTCTTTATCTTAGTAGATGTTTCACAAACTTTGTTCTATCTACTAACAATATAAGAAAGTTCTTTTTTTCTCCAGTATGCTGACAGTGGATATCAAAATGTTGCCAATCTGATAGGTGAAAAAACAGTAACTTTCTATTTTAACTTTCTGTTTTCCAATAAGTAATGAAGTTACATAATATCACAAATATTTATTGGCTATTTTTGTTTCTTCTAAGGAATGTCTATTTGCCCATGTCTATTGAGTTGTCTTTTTCTTTTTCCTTTCAGTTTATAGGAATTCTTTATTCATTAGGAATGCAAACCTTTTTTTTTATTACCTAGGTTGCAAATACTTTCCCTAAATATTTGTTTCTATTAATAAATTTTGTTTATGGAAGACATTTTCTTTTTTGATTTTTATTGTTTTTAATTGCCAGAGGGTACATGTACTTACAAGAAAGAGAAGGAACACTAAAGAGAAACCACCCGCTATGGGGCATGGTCACACACACTGCAGTCCTCCTTCCTCCATCTTTTTCCTATGAGGATCCATGGGGGCCAGGATTCACAGTACAGTTGTCCATGTGGTAATCAGTTAGGCACTGGGCTGGCCTTTAAATGGGAAGATCTCTAATTTCAGTGTTTTGAAGTGTTTTTTTAAAGAATGATTTAACTTTATTTATTTAATTTGACTAGAGTGGGACATAGAAAGAGAGGGAAAGTGAGAGTGAGAAGGCATGCAGCCAGGTCTGGGACTTGAACCACAGTTGGCCATTTGGGAATCCAGCACCCTCAACCACCACGCCATCGGCCCCTCTAATTTTAGTTTTACTGTGATTTTAAATTTCTTGGTGTTGAAACGCTGCCTGTAAATGATCCTCACTTCTTGACTGGAAGGGTCAGACTGGAATGGAGACTCATTTAAAAGGATTGTGATGTTTAGGTGAATGGAAGCTATTTTGGATCTTATGCAAATTATGCTACTTGATAAATTAGAATATTTCACTTAAAAAGGTGCACACGATACAGAATACATTTTTAATTTAATATTTAATATAGAAACACTGAGAACATCTACATAATGGAACTTCCTTTAACTTCCTTGAGTAAATCTAATTTTGCTGCTGGATTATCATCAAAAGCAGTGGGATATGGCACGTAGCACTGCTCTCTCTTTCCTGCTTTCAAAAAAACCTCAGCCGAGTTTGTCCATCAACTCTACCAGGGACTTTTTCATAAACTAGACGTCGTTTTTTGAATTGTGGTAGATGTGAGTACATGACACCTGTTCAAAGGAGAAAAAAGAAGACCACTTTATTGCTTACAGTAGTAAAGTATATCTATTTTTTCTGACTATTCTAGTGGATCCTGTCTTTTCATCATCTAACTACAAAGTGTCCAAATTTCCAAACTGATATAAAATATTAACTACTAAAAGTTCCATTTTTAACATAAATAAACCTGAACTTAATGGCAATGGCACTAGTAGTACAACACTGGAAAATATTGTAACAGCTAGCTCTTCGGGTAGGTTGAGGGAAAGGAATAAAGGCCCGATTTGTAGCATTTGTCAATTTCTGTGATACAAAGACTTTCATCAGGACTGATTTTAAGCTACAAGCTTGGTAGGAACAATGTTTCTCAGTATCAGTCTCCCACAGACAATTCTAAAATACCTAAAAATATTTAAATTGCTTTTTCTATATTTGCCAGGAAGCCTTCTCATTAAATGGCTTTGTCTTTTACATCTACTTCATAATTTTCATTTATTATCTATATTTACATATGGATATCCATATACTGTCACATATATTAGTAGCCATGTGGTATTTGATTGTATAGTACCCACAAATGTCAAGTTAACCAATGCAAAGCATCTCAAGTAGATTCACAGATGAAGAAACTGCTAGCATTTTAGAGAGATGAGCAAAATTCACTCCATCCTTGCCAAGGTAGATAAGAGTCATCATGACTTAAGTAGAAGAATAAATAGTAAGCTAATAACAAGCAATTAAGTTAGAAATCACAAAAGTTTACTAAGATAAACATGGGAGGAGTTGGCAGGTGGCATGGTGGTTAAGGGCTGTGGACTTCCACAGCCCTTCCAAGTCCCAGACCTGGTGGCTTGTTCTGTCTCTCTCAACCCCTCTGGTCATGTTAAAATAAATGAATAAATAAAGTTAAAAAAAATAATTCTTAAAAAAAAAGGTCAACATGAGAAACCTACTTGGCTCAAAGAAGAAAAAATTAATTATGACCTATTAAGAAAATAATTAGAATACCATAATAAAAAATGCTGTTAGAAGCTTATATTAACTCCATTCCACCGTCTTTAATATGCCTTTTTAATTTTTTTGGGTAAAGGGCTTGTGCACTTTCCAGAGAGAAGAGAGAGTGATGGGGACCAGCAGGTGGCATGGTTGTTAAGGTGCTGGACACTCCTACATGGCTGACTGTGGTTCGAGTCCCAGTGCTGGTGGCTTGCTTTCTCTCTCTCTCTTTCTCGCTTTCTCTGTCTCTCTCTGGTCAAATAAAAAAAATATGAATGAATAAATAAAATTAAATAATTCTTTAATGAAAAGAGGGAAAAAGGGAAAGTGAGAAAGCACTCTCCATGGGGAATGATCACATTGCAATCCCTTCTCCTCCATTTCTCCTTCCTTTTAAGATCTTGGACATGCGCACACACATGCCCATCATGTCTCTAAAGCCACCAGGTCTGAAACTCTTCTTTTTTTTTTTTTCCTTTTTTAAAATTTTATTTATTATCATTTTTATTACATTTAATCACAGGTATCTTCACAGTGTATTACATTTCTTTTTCTAGTGTGATTATGATGCATGTCAGTCAAGACAAAGACATTACTATCCACATCATCATCAAATAGCTTTTCATAATTTTTCCAGATTATTATTATTAATTCTCAATATTTTTAAAACATTTTAAAAACATTATTTTTTAAACATTCAATCACTATATATCATTTGGTTTGTAAAGAGAATTTACCCAACATGAAATACTTCTTAGACCAGTCCACTTGAGAATACTATACATGTCATCATCAACAGGTAATAAACCATTTCTGTGTCCCACTAATGTCACAACTCTCTCTCTGTTCTCTTGCTATCCTTATCTATACTCTTCTTCCCTGTTTCATACTGTCTTCATCATTTCTAACTATTTTCACTGCTTTTATGTCCTCCAATATTTCAATCTCTACCATAAAGTATGGATAGTTGGTACCCATTTCTTTTCATGAGAGGACAGAAAATTTAGAAAGAGATAAATTTATGTCAAAGTAATCATTTTAGCTAAATTGTTTCACTTAGGAAGAATTGAGTACTTGGAAAGATGTTCTAAAACCAGAGAGGTCTGAGACTCTTAACCACAGTCAGTCATGTGGGCTACAGCTGCCTTAACCATCATGCCACTGGCTGGCCCTATGCCATCCTTCAAATTCTTGCCTTTATGTTTTCCCTCATTAAGTCTATTTCTTAAACCATACCTATAATGTGGAATTTATCCTAAGCTGTGATGTATGAGAGGTAATAATTGTGCAGTGACTTACTTTATATGACCTTAGTTTGTATGACACATTAACCTGAAATATCCTAGATTGGGATACTTAGGTTGATTTTTTTTTTTTTTTTAAAGAGAGATTTCTGCTATAGGGCATGTGTGCTCGCCAGAGAGACAGAAAGTGAGAAATCATCTCACAGGGAGGGTGGCCATGCTGCAATCTCTTCTCCTCCATTCTTTTGGGATTTGGGCACACAAGCATGTGCACCCGGAGTGAGTGAGAAAGTGAGAAAGCAAACTGCCAGATCTGGGACTCAAACCATGGTGGACCATGTGGAAGTTCAGCACTTGAACCACCATGACATTTGCCAGCCCTCGGAAGCTCTTTTTTTTTTTTTTTTTTTTTGAGAGGTTTTCGCTATAGGGCACATGCGCTCGCCAGACAGACAGAGAGAGACAGAGAGACAGAAAGTGAGAAATCACCCCCCCAGGGGGAGTGGCCACGCCACAATCCCTTCTCCTCCATTCTCTTCTCAGGATCTTGGGTACGCACGCACACGCGCCTGGCGTGAGTTTTAAGCCACCGGGTCCGGGACGCGAACCACAGTCGAGTACATGGGAGTCCAGTGACATAGCCATTACGCTAACTGCTGGTCCCTCGGAACCTCTTTTAATAAAATAAAAAATACAAGACTTTCTGGGCCTCCCTCAGACCTCACAAAAGGGTCTATGTAAAAAAGAAGCGTTGAAGCTTGTTTATCCCCCTCCCTAAGCCTGTTGCATTTTCTTCCATCATGGTTAAAACTGACATTGTATAGTCATTAGAACTTACTATTTCATTCTAGAAGCTTAGACCAGTCCAATAAGAAATGACAGAAAGAAGTGACATAAGAGGAAATTATTAATAGAATTGTTGTAACTAAAGAGTCTACATAATGGTGCCTGACACATAGTTAGCTCTTAATGAATGTTAGTCAATAAAGTAAACCAGCCCCACAGAGGCCAATTTTCTTTTCTTTCTTTTTTTTTTAATGTTTATTTACTTATTTATCTATCCGTTTGTTATCATTTTTAAGTCACCAGGTTCAGGACTTGAACCACAGTTGGCCATGTGGGAATCTAGCACTTTAACCACCATACCACCTGCTGGCCCCAGAGGCCAATTTTCAAACTCACTAATTCCTCTGTTTAATCTTCGTTGATCTTAGTCTTCTGCTTTAGACTTTGTTCTGATTTTATTTTTAAACTTCTTAAACTATTCCAAGCTATAAGAATTTACATAATTTCATTGAGTGTATTTTTATAGAAGTCTATAGTTAGAGTTAAAATTTTTCTCTTTAATCCAGAAAATACTGGAAAAAGATAAAATGTAGTAGTTAACATACACACTTTTCTTTTTAATTTGAAAATTTTTTCCCCTCCATTTTGCTAGAGGCTTTGTGCAAGAAAATAATCCCCATAAGGGATATTCACACCACAATCCCTTCTCCTCTATTTTTCCTTTGTTTTGGGATTTGGGGTATACATGCACACATGCCCAGCATGTTTTTTATTCTCTGGGTCTGGAACTTAAATCGCATAGTAGGCCATGTGAGATCCAGCTACCTTAACCATTATGCCACCAGGTGGCCCAGTTCTATCATTTTAAAGTTGAGAGCAGGGATCAGCAGGTGGCATAATGGTTACATTGCTGGACTCTCATGTAATTGAGTGTGGTTCAAGTCCCAGACCTGATGGCTCAAAACTCAAGCCGGGCACATGTGTGTGTGTGTGTCCCCAAGATCCCAAGAAGAAAATGGAGAAGGAATTGTGGCTTGGCCATCTGCCCTTGGGGGTTGAATTTCACTTTCTGTCTCTCAGTCTCTCAGGCAAGCCTATGTGCCCTATAACAAGTCTCTCATAAATAAATAAATAATAAAGTTGAGAGTCGTTTTATCCCCCGTTGGACAGTGTTACCTGTTAATGATTCCTTGTCTTCTGTGTTAGATGTAGTTTCAGGGTACCTTTTCTGCCCTAAACATTTTCCAGCTCTTTGGTAGGAATAAAGGCTGTTGAATTCTTTTTGATTTACATTAGAATCAGAAGCACAAAATAAATCCAAACTAGGACCAGATGATAATTCCCTCCAGGAAGTTTTCTGAATCCCGGCATTTGAATATTCACCTATAAAGCCTTCTACTTCATCCGATAGACGTTTTCTCTGATTACTGAATAAGTTATCCTTCTGAGAATGCCATTTGTCATGTGTAGTTTTCTCTGTGCCATATTGTAGGTTGAATGAGTGATTGTGTTGCTCCCGTACATCTTCCTTAAAGTTCCAGTGAAGAGGAGATCGAGGGCCCTCTAATGTAAAGACCGGGGCAGATACTTCTTTGCTTATGGATTGTTTTGTTTTATGTGCTCCTTTTTTCTGATAATTAGTACAACTGGAGACAACTCTCTTCTGAGTGTCAGTTGGTGCCTGTATGGTTTCACAGTTCATTTGTGTTAGACCCAAAGAAAAGACATCTGACTCTGAATCATTCCAGTTTAGAAAAGAGTTGGAAGCTACTTTTGATTCCATATTGATTAGAAAAGGATTTTCCTGTACTATGTTAGGGTTACAACTGGAGTCTTCCCAGTAGCTGGTCTGACCGTAAGAAGTCACGGATGGTAAAATGCATGGCATTTCTCGTAGGTCCATTAGGAAAGAGTTATAATTTAAAGTGGTGCTTGTGTCTTCCTGCACTGCCTCTCCTAAGTCTAAATACTGGTCATGGTCATTATGTTCTTGACTAGAGTCTGGAGAGCCAGAAGCTGAACTCTGAGAAGTAAAGCTACTGGTCTGAGCCCTGTTTTCCTGAGGCGATGAAATTCGAGGTGAGTTTGTTATGGAAGAAGAACTAATCGTGAATAAGGATGTGATGCTACAAAAATGCTAAAAACGTTAAAAAAGAAAATTAATACAATACAAATACCAATTTAGTAAATATTAAAAAAATGATGCTACTCTATGTGAAAAGAAGGTAAAATATAGATAAGTAGTCTATTCATAGATATTACATTGATCCAACAGAGTAAGAATAAAACTAGGCTCCCTTTAAAAAAACTTTTTATAGTTCACATCTATTTTCTAGTCACTTAAAATAGAATTTAAGAATAGACTATTCTTTAGAGAAAATGTACGGAAGCTCCCTTCTATTTCTTTTAATTTTTTTTGGTTTAGTTTCACAGCAAATGTAATTGAATTTTTTAGTTATGCAAGTAACACATATATACTGTTTCATGGATGAAAATTTAAATATTATCAATAAGTCTCAAGTTGTGTTTATTGCCATAATGAAGTATGTTAGGACTATCTCAAAAAAAAAAAAAAAGAGAAAAGAAAGAAGTAAGTAAATATAAGTGAATAAGGTACATAATGGAATTATTTGTGGATACAATAATATATTAAAATTATTTAAAGTGTGATAAACTGTACTGAGTTTTCTAAAATAACTTAAAATATTAATGTAATTGATAACTAATACATATGCTATATAAAATTTAGTTCAGGTAAATTATTTCTTTGCTATATGAATTGTGTAATTGTCTAAAACAATTAAACTTGGATAACTTAATTTCAAAACCCTAGAGTAAAAATAAAAACTCAAATGTAAGGGGAAAAAACTCATATAGCTAACCTTTAACACTTTTTCTGGAACTTCAGGTAGAAGTTCCTGAAGTTGACTCAAGGTTGCTAATAATATCCAGTGCAGTGAAGGTCCTCTATTTAACATGAGCTGGGCCACCAATGGGTTAATACATGGAAAATCAAGTAAGTACATTTCTTCCTAGAAAAGAGTTTTTTTAAAAATCAGTTAGACTGTATTCATGCTGGGAAAAACCATGTTGTACATTGTAAAGATATACAGTAATTAAATATAAATTAATAATAAATTAGTTAGTGGTCTTTTGAAAGTGACCCATTTTATTCTACTTCCACAGATGAAAATTTTTGTCATTGTACCTACCACTCAATTTGGAGCACTAGGAAATAAACTGCTACCAGGAAGGAAATTCAATCTTATGTATTTATATTTGCTTTTCGAATATCTAACTTATATATATAGAAAATAGACCTTTGATGGTGAAACTTCAAGCCAGGATTTATCCAACCATTCATGAGGATTTCTCTTCGAGGTCATTAAATTGTGGTCAGCAACTTGTCGAATTATCAGTGCAGTCTCCTCTACTCCTGGGACAATTATAAGCTAAAAAATATATTTTAATATGTTAGATTTAGGGGCCAGCGGTTGGCATAATGGTTATGTCACTGGACTCCCACTTAATCTACTGCAGTTCGAGTCCTGGACCCAGTGGCTTCAAACTCACACTGGGCATGTGTGCATGCATGCCAGAGATCTCGAGAGGAAAAGGAGGAGAAGGGATTGTGGAATGGCCATCCCCCTGGGGGGGGGTGACTTTTCATTTTCTGTCTCTGTGGCGAATATATGTACCCTACAGCAAAATCTCTCATAAAATAAATTTATATTTAGGAAATATTAAGAAGCATGATGTAGCATTCAAACATAGTTTGTCATTTCTCAAAAGGAGACATATAAATGGTCAAAATACATGAAAAAAATACTCAACTTCACTATTATTAGGGAAATGCATATAGAAAATACAGTAAGATCTATCATCTCACTCAAGTTAGAATGGCTATTATCAAAAGACTAAAAATATCACATGCTGATAAGGATGCTGAGAAAAGGTAACTCTTTTATATTGTTGATGGGAATGTAAATTAGTACAGCCATTATGAAAAACATTTTAGAAGTTTCTTAAAAAACTAAAAATAGAACTACTGTATGATCTAAGAATTTCACTATTGGGTGTATATCCAAAGGAAAGGAAGTCCCTATGTTATAGATATCTACACCCAATGTTTATTGCAGGACTATTCACTAGCCAAAACTTGTTACCAACCTACGTATCCATCAATAGATTAAAGGATAAAGAAAGTGTGATAGACACACACATGCACACACACATGAATACCATGCAGTCATTAAAAGGGATAAAATTCTGTCATTTGAGGTTAAATGGGCAAAGAGGACATTATGTTAAGTAAAATAAGCTAGGCACAGAAGAGAAATAGCAAATGTTTTCCTTCATATGTAGAAATTGAAAGTCCTCATGGAAGTAGAGAGATGGGGGCGAGCAGGTGATGTGGAGATTGAGACGCTGAATCCCACATAGACATCTGTGTGATTCGAGTCCCAGACCTGGCAGCTTGAAAGTCATGCCAGGTATGTGTGCATGCATGCCCAAAATCCCAAAAGGAGACTAGAGGAGAAAGGACTGCAGCATGGCCATCCCCTCTGGGTTGTTTTCTCACTTTCTCTCTCTCTGGTGAGTTGTATGTGCCCTATAGCAAAACCAAAACAAACAAAAAAGTAGAGAGATGAAGAATGGCTACTAGAGGCTAGGAAGGACTAGGGGTAGAGGACAGGTAGAGGGATGTTGGTTAATGAAAACAAAATTACAGATAGATAAGAGGAGCAATGTCTAGAGTTGTAAAATACAATGAGGTGAATATAGTTAAAAGCAACTTACTGCATATCCTAGAGTACCTAAAAAAGGAAGATTTTTAATTTCCCAACACAAAGTAATGACAAACGGTAGAGACGATGGGTATACTAATTATCCTGATTTAATTATTACACATGTAGTCACATAGTGAAGAATCACATTATACTTCTGCAAATATGTACAGTTATTACATGTTAATGTTAATAAGAAATAGTTTATTAGAAATTTTTTTTTACTTTTTTTTTTTTTTGGCCAGGGGGGGTGTGTGTTTTTAAGAGACAGAGAGAAGAAGAGGGAGAGGGAGTAAACATCCCTCCATTGGGTATGGTCACGTTGCAACCCCTTTTCTTCCATTTCTCCATCCTTTTGGAATTTGGGGCACACACACAGTAGTCTGACTTCATAACATAAACATGTTCCCTTCCCTGCAAGAGCTTATAATCTAGGAGTCAACTATTTACAGCTGGGTTTCAGAAAAGTAATTGGTATCTGTATGTGACAAATTGGAGTGGTAAAAGAGTAGACAGAAGAAGATTACTTAGGAAGCTACATTAAAAATCCAAGTGAGGATCTGACAGTAACACAGTGATAAGTCAATACTCTGAGATACTGGACCCACTTGGGAAGGTCCTGGGTTCATGTCCTGAGGCCTCCCTGAACATGCCAGAGACATGCACATGCCATGATCCAGGCCGTTGAGACTAGGGTGCTTGCAACGTAGAATCTCTTTCTCTTTCTTAGAAGAAATAAATAAATTAATTTTTAAAAATCCTCCTGAGAGGTGATGAGGGCTTAAATTTAGGGAAATAGAGAGATTCTAGAGATACTGCAAAATTTAAAAAAAGATTTAGCTACTAAATTGATTAGAACATTGATGCCATAATCTAAGCTTGGATAAGGGTGAGAAGTTGTGTTTTTGACATGTATAGTTTGAGGTACTTGTGGGATATTCACATGGAGATTTCTAGTAGACTGCAAGAATTTAGGTGCAGACCTTAAGAAGTGCCAGAATTTTTTTTTCCCCAATGGGGCTGTGTGTGCTTGCTGGAGAGAGACAGAGAGAAACAGAGAGAGGGAAAGTGAGAATTCACTTCTCAGGGTAGATGGCCACACCACAATCCTTTCTCCTCCATTCTCCTCTTGGAATTTTAGGTATGAATACACACACATACACACACACACGCCTGGCGTGATTTTCAAGCCATCAGCTCTAGGACTCAGCCATGTGGGAATCCAGCACCTTAACAACCATGCCACCTTCTGGCCCCAGTGCCAAGAAAATTTTAATAACTATATTCAGAACTGAAAGCTAAATTGTGGGAATGTCTGAGTTAATAAAGAAAAAAATATAATAAAGTAAGAACGGAAGAGTACTAAACCCTGAACTCAGACAAATTTCAGAGCAGAACATCAAAAAAAAAAAAAAAAGGGACAAGGTCAGAGACTGGTTAGAAATCACTAATATATTACCCTACTCATGTCATAAGATTTCTATTTTACAGCAGATAAAAACCTGAGTTTATTTTGGATCAGCTGATGGCATGCTGGTTAAGGCAGTTATATCCTACATGGTTAGCAGTTAGTTATATCCTAACTACGCTAGCCCTGGACTTGGAGACTTGAAAAACACACCACAGGGTACAAATGCCTGCGTGTCCAAAAATCTTGAAAGGAAGGAGAAATGGAGGAAGAGGTATTATGGCGTGCCCATCCCCCACAGGGGGGGGCTTCTTTCTTACTTTCTCTTTCTCTCTGTCTCTCCAGGGAGCACACACAATCTATGGCAAAGTATAAACAAAAAAAACTTAGTACATCTTTAATAAGGAACATCTTTGATCAAGGTATGTTTTTAAAAATCTTGGTATGTTTTTAAAAATCTAAGTAGTAATTAAAAGATGAAATATGATTTAAAATCCTTAAAACAATTCATTAAACTAATCAGAATAGGAGTTTAAATGGTAAGAATATTTATATTTGAAACTGTTCTTTATATATAGATTTTAAGTAGTTTTTAATTTACCCATTTAATTTTTTTTTCTCCCTGAGCATTTGAGTTTAATTCTGGTTTATGAAAAATAAAGAATACCTTTACATCCAGTTCTTCTGACTTTAGCCCAGATGAAACCAAAGCTGCATAAATCAGTGCGAGGTGGTGAAGTGTCTTTTCAGTAAGGTGGTACCTAAAAAGAGCTACGTTACTATATTTCTGTTCATTTAACATCTGATTATATTTATGAAAAATTCACATTCTTTTCCACATTTCATAATGTTACTAGAATAACTTGACTAAGATAATACTAGTGAATCAAACTCATGTTTTTTTGGTCCACCTTGTACTCTTTTTTTTTGAGAGATTTTCACCGTAGGGCGCATGCGCTCGCCAGACAGACAGAGAGAGACATAGAGACAGAAAGCGAGAAATCACCCCCCAGGGGGGATGGTCACGCCGCAATCCCTTCTCCTCCATTCTCCTCTCGGGATCTTGGGCACGAACGCACACGCGCCCGGCGTGAGTTTTAAGCCACCGGGTCCGGGACACGAACCGTGGTCGACTACGTGGGAGTCCAACAACATAGCCATTACGCTAACTGCTGGTTCCCCACCTTGTACTCTTTTGAAAAATGATTCCACCTTCATTCTTTAACAGTACTATTAAATCTAGGAGATGTGAGGGTGTGTGTGTGTGTGTGTGTGTGTGTGAAAGCGTGAGATGTTAGGAGAAGTTTAAACAATCCCCAACTGGTTATATGACCAAAGCCTACCCTCCTCCTCTGGTTGAAATAACAGGTTCAGATAGGAACTCATAACTGGAGCCAGGATAAATAGAATCCTCCGTGGGTCTTTTTCCTTAACTGCTAGAAAAAGCACTTTTCCCCTTCTATGATTATTAAGCAGGTCAGATATAAATATTAATAATAGTAATAATATTACTAACTTTACCTATTTTATATACCCTAAGGAATAAAAAGGAACTGACTGACTCATATTTCTGAGAAGTTCAGGGAAAGGCATTGTTGGATTCAGGGACTCAAACAGTACTGTCAAGACAACAGCTAGGCTTCTTTCCTGCATGTTGGCTTCTTTCTCAGGCCAGCTCTTTCCATCAGAGAGGCTGGCAGAGTGCCTTACAGCGCCTCAACTGCTTGTACAATGGTGGTCTGTTTGAAAACCTGTTTTCTGTTTTAGTGTCTAGAACTTTGGTATGTGCTAGACAGAGGGGGCTTAAGTGACTACCCTTTGGTGAAAACTCTAGGCACTGTGGCTCTAAGAGTGCCTAGAGGCACAATTTTACCAGTGCTGTCACAACTCGTTGCTGAGGAAAGTTAAGTACATCCTGTGTGACTCTACTAGTATAGGACACCTGGAAGCTTCCTTTTGGTTTCCTCTGGACTTTGCCCCATGAGATTTCTCCCATTGCTGATTTTGCAGTATAGAAGTGTTCAGACTTGGGACTAGCAGTTGGAGTAATGGCTATGTCGCTGGATTCCCATGCAGTCGACTGCGGTTTGTGTCCTGGATCTAGTGGCTTTAACTCACACTGGGCGCATATGCGTGTGTGCCCAAGACCCCAAGAGGAAACGGAGAAGGGACTGTGGCGTGGCCATCCACCCTGGGGGGCGATTTCTCGCTTTCTGTCTCTCTCTGTCTTTCTGGCAAGCGCACACACCCTATAGCAAAAACTTCTCCAAGAAAATAAAAAGGAAGTGTGTAATCTTGTACTGTAATCCATACTAGCCATGGATATGACCATATGATGAGTTCTGTGAGTCCCCCTAGGAAATAATCAAACCTGGGGGTGGTCGCAAAGACCTCCGACATTTTTCCTCAAGCTGGATCTCTAATAACATGAACTACTAAGGTGATTCAGACTTTTTCTTTTAGTCTTTAGTTTTTCTGATTTGGTCAGTTGATTAAAACACTTCAAAAATGTTCCAATCATCTACTGGGTCCTCAGAAAAGTCATGACATGATTTTCTGTTTTCCTATGCAAAAACCTGTCATGATTTTTCTGATGACCCAATAAAAATATAGAATTGAGATACCTCGAAGTTGAAAATAATTATAGTTTATAATGACATATTATGAATAAATAATAACTCAACATCTTGAATATAAAAATATGTCAAAAGTATTACAGAATTTATTTTTTAATTAAAATCTGGGTATAAATAAGTTTGAATCTCCTCTTACTCTCCCCTGTACTTCAGTTGCACTACTAGAACTAAAGGTAGAAAGAAATCAAAAACAACTTATAAAAATTTCCAGATCAATTACTTATCCAAAACATTTCCAAGTTCTGGATAAAGATAAAAATACCCTACAAGCAAGTTCCAAGCTTAAAGTGCCTTACAGTCTTTATTAATCTTCAGAATGAAGGTTTTAGACCTGAATTATTATTTTAGTTTTTTTTATTTTTGGTAGAAAGGAAAAACTAGGTTAAATGATTTGCTAGAGGTTATTTGTTAATAGAAGAAGGAATAAGAACCAAAGTGTTTATACTCTTGCATTCCAATTTATTTCCACATGATAATAATTGTATACAAAGAGTCTGGTTCAGTGGCTAAACAAAGAGAGAGTCACGGGGCTGGCAGGTGGCGTGGTGGTTAAGGATGCTGGACTCCCACATAGCCGACCACGGTTCAAGTCCTGGACCTGGTGCCTAGCTTTCTCACTGTCTCTCTCGCTTGCTCACTCTGTCCCTTTCTGGTCAAATTCAAATAAATACATAATTAGTTTAAAAAAAAGAGAGAGAATCAAACCAGAGAGTCAACAAGGAAAGAAAAATCACACAGGTAACATAAAAAAAAATCTGTATCTTCTCTAACAACTAAATTAAAGGATTTACTTTTTTAGAATTTTTTTGCTATAGGGTGCATGTGCTCGCTGGAGACAGAGACAGAGAGAAAGCAAGAAATCACCCCACCCCCCGGGAAATGGCCATGCCACAATCCTTCTCCATTCTCCTCTCGTGATCTTGGACATGCACACACATGTGCCCGACATGAGTTTCAAGCCGCCAGGTCCAGGACTCAACTGCGGGCAGCCATGTGGGAGTCTAATGAAGTAACCATTACACCATCTGCTGGTTCCCTCCTTCACCCGTTTTTTTCAGTAGGGCATGTGTGCTCACCAGAGAGAGACAGAAAGAGAGAGAGGGAAAGTGAGAAATCACCCCCTAGGGGAAATGGTCAACTGTAATCCCTTCTACTCCTCTCTTCTCTTGGGATTTTAGGAGGTGGTTTATTATATATATATATATATAAAAATATATATATATGTATATATATATTTTTATATATATATATATATTTTTTTTTTTTTTTTGGAGAGGTTTTTGCTATAGGGCATGTGTGCTCACCAGAGAGATCAAGAGACAGAAAGCGAGAAATAATCACTCCCCCCTGGGGTGGGGGGGATGGCCATGCTGCCTGCAATCCCTTCTCTTCCATTCTCCTCTCGGGATCTTGGGGACACATGCACATGTGCCCGACGTGAGTTTAAGTCACTGGGTCTGGGAGTTGAACCATGGTTGACTACATGGGAGTCCAGTGACACAGCCATTGCGCCAACTGCTGGTCCCCTAAGAGAGAGTGTTGCTATAGGGTGCATCCACTCACCAGAGAGATACAGACAGACAGAAAGCAAGAAATCACCCCCCCAGGAGGAAGAACATGCCACAGTCCCTTCTCCATTTTCCTCCTGGGGTTTTGGGCACGCACATATGTACCAGGCATGAGGTTTAAGCCACTGGTTCCAGGGCTTGAACCTCAGTCAACTCTGTGGGAGTCTAGTAACATAACATTACACTATCTGCTGGTCCCAAGCCCTGAATATTTTCAAAACTTTTAACAAGGGGCCAACTGGTGGTATGGTGGTTAAGGCAACTGGATCCCACTTGGCCAACTGCATGGTTTGAGTTCTAAACCCAGAAACTTGAAAAAAACGCTGGCACGTGTATGTGCATGCCCAGAATCGAGTGAAGAATAGAGAAGAAGGGACGTGCATGGCTATTCCCCTCTGGGAGTGACTTCTCACTTTCTCTCTCTCTTAAGCACCCCATAGCAGAAATTAAAAAAAAATACAAATTGGGATTATAGTCTGAAGACCTTGAATATTAGAGTAGTTTATACGTATTCAGTAGGTAATGAGGAGGTCAGTAAAGGCTTCTTACCAGAGTAAAATAATCAGAACCTAGTTTTTAGGAATATCAATTGAGTATATGACAGATTGTGGAGAAAAACACTGACAGGCATCTGGAGATGGGGAAAAAGCCAGGAAAACTTCCACATAAAATAAAGAGAATCTCTATTAAGTCATTGGTAATATAAATGGAAGGAAAGAAAATAAGACAAAGTCCAATACTTGATTCTATAGGGATTTGCTTTCCACTCTTAGTGACTAAAAGAAAGGCAATGCCTAAGTAGCTAAAGAGCAGATAAGAGGGAACCAGCAGTTAGCGTAATGGCTATGTCACTGGATTCCCACGTAGTCGACCGCGGTTCGCGTCCCAGACCCGGTGGCTTAAAACTCACACCAGGTGCGTGTGCATGCATGCCCAAGATCCCGAGAGGAGAAGGGAGGAGAAGGGATTGCGGCGTGACCGTCCCCCCTGGGGGGTGATTTCTCACTTTCTGTCTCTAATGTCTCTCTCTGCCTGTCTGGCGAGCGCATGCGCCCTATAGCGAAAACCTCTCAAAAAAAAAAAAAAAGCAGATAAGAGAAGATAAAGGTATGGAAGGGAGAGAGGATATAGTGAACTCATATTTGAACATGTTAAATTTTAGAGGCTGTGGAATATCTGGAGAGAATATTTAGTATAAAATTAGATATGCAGAAATTCCAAAGAGAGACTGCATTTGCAGAAATAAGTATGTGTGGAGGGATGATGACTGAGGCATGAGAATAGATAAAATTTCTGATGGATAAAATAAAAGAAATAACTGATAACAAATATATTTGTAGACAGAGAAGGAATAGAGAGGTAGGAGCTCAACATGGGGGCCGGCAGGTAGCATGGTGGTTAAGGCACTGGACACCCACATGGTCGACCATGGCTTTCGTCCTGGACTTGGTGGCTTGCTTTTTCACTTTCCTTTTTTCTCTCCCTCCCTGTGTCTCTCTCTAGTCAAATCAAAATAAATAAATTAATCAAAATTAGATAAATTCTCTTTAAAAAATAGAACATTGACAAGTCATGGGACTTAAGGGGAAAAAAGACATAATAATGACAAGCTAGTATCTTGGCATGGATTTTTTATGTTTCAGTTAAGCACATTCATGAAAGAAAGTATATTAGTTGGTATATTTAGTAAGATTTTAGAGAGATGATTTAAGAATGACTTATCTTTTTAACAGAATTATGAAATAGATTATAAAACACTTAAAGCGGCCGTTTGTATTGAGATGTGAGTAGGGGAGGTTGGTTTGCACAGAGTGCCCTGGGAACATGTATCCTCTCCAAAATTCCAATCTTTTTATGATTATACCTCTATCTTGAGAATCCCTGACTTAAAGCAAAGTAGAGGAGCAGGTGGAAAATTTGCATAGCTATTTCTATTCAAACATATCAGGGCGATCCAGCCAAGAATTTATACTTCTTAAATTCCAAACTACATGAATTTTTAAAGAGAATTTGAAGAGGACTGAATAACTTAAGAAATGTGAACATGACTTTAGATGAAGAAATGTTTACCTACTCTGAATTTAATGTTACTTTGGTATATAAAATTATCCAACAATAGCTGTACTGGAATGATAATGCCATCAGTCTCATAATGATATTGTCTGGTGCCTTCTCCCAGTTTAGTTCTTCTAGGTCCTATAAAAAATAACAAAATTAAAAATCATTAAGTACAACAATTATAGTAAAATTATTGCTATCATACTTCAAGAATCCACGATACAGAAATGCAACTTGAGAAGAAGCATGGTATGGGCTCCCAATCCATGGAAAAATTAAAACCGCACTAGAAGTAGTAGGAAAAAAGTTATAGTAAGTATAAAACAACTAATGATAGCTTCAAGAAGGAAAGCTCATGAATATCCCAA